ATTGTGACATCATAATGTACCAGTTTACATCATAGCATACTTCTTAGCCAATAGCGGTGGCAGATTTAAATTAAAATACAGTGCAGAGTTTTTACCTGACAACGGCACAACACTGCCAGTTTTAGGCAGAATATTTAAATTTTAACTAAGATGCACTGAAGTGCCAAATTATTGACGACACGTGTCTGCAGCATGATTAGACACTCGTTTATTTAGTCTATCAGCAAAAAAAAGTATTTGGGGGTGACTTGCTCTTTAAGGGCAATTCTCATCTGTTTTGTTTGATCTCATCTGTAGATATTTATTATAATTGGGGATGTCAAACAACTAATTTTTAAATGTAATTAAACATAGGCTGTGAATTAATCAAAATTAATCACTATTTCCAAAAATGACTGAAAAATACCAAATAAAACAAAAGTAAATGAATGCCATCCTCCTTGTGATGATGCCCTGGGCAACTGCCATAAAGTCACATCAAGAAATGCTGCTGATCATTCCAATGATCCCAAATAGACTCACATTAGGCCACATGAAAGCAACTGAACCCAAAAATATATTAACCAGTATATAACTGCACTCTCACAACACGCCTGCAGCAACAGTTAGGACTCCTCCCTCCCTTTTAAAAGCGTTTTCGCTTCTGAGGACATTGTGGTTGTAAAGCCACAAGTTAGTAGTCTGGCCCCGGTGTGATCAACCAGTTTCTGCGGGAATGTGACGGCGGAACCGGTTCGCAGCGGCGCGAGTCGTCGCACCCCCCCCCCCCCCCCCCGCATATCTAATAGCGTCGCGCTTACAATTTTAAAGACTTTTTTTTACGAGCTTAGGGCATGTCTAGCCTGTGTAATAATCCGGAGCTTGGGTGAATCACTTTTGAAAAGTTTTTAACTTACCCGGACACCGAGCTCTCTCCTTCCTCGCTGATGATTCTGACATGCTTGCGTTTAAGACGCTGCATCATCACCGTAGTACTCCCATGCCATGCTAAGTCTGACCTACAAACGTTGCATGTCTTCGCCTGATTTAACTGAAAATGCTCCCAAACTTTAGAAGTTTTTACTTTTTGGGGGTCTCGCTGCTTCTGCCATGTTCCTCTTACAAACACCTGCTGACTCTCCACCGGTCTGCGCGCAACGGCGGGCGGGCGGGAGGGGGCTTTTGGAAGAGTTGCGCAACACAACGAATCGATGACGCAATTCGTTGCCAACGCTTTTAGTAATCGATTTTCATCGAATTTATCGCTTCGTTGTTGCAGCCCTAATACACATGTCATATTTATACATCTGATACAATTCAGATCACCTTCAAAACTCAGTCACACACCCAGGGCTGTTTCAAGACATTTTGGGGGCCAAGGCAAAATGCCCCCCCCCCCCCCCCCCCCCAATAACTGGGCTCCCCAGAAGCCTCTGTGTAATTCATGCCCTCTCCAGTAGTGTTAGTTATATGGTGTTTATAAAAGACCCTCAGACATTACTGACATGTTCTAATATTATCAGATGACAAACTAAATTATCAGACATGCTGTCTCATCTGCTTCTTTTATAAACTTGCAAAAAGTAACAAAACCATTTGAAAGCCACTATTTGTGGATTCTCTGAAAGTTTCCATGGAGTTTGTGACAACTTATTTTTTCATTGATCCTATCGTCTAATCTCACAGCTGAAACAAGCATCCTTAATAATCTGTGCACAGGAAGCTTACCGATGCTGTAGTAAAACAAAAGGTATAATAATTTATTATTAATAAAACCTTGTTGCAGCACTAAAGCAGAAAAATTTGATTTTGCATTAAATATGCAAAATATTTACATATGAATTGTTTTAGAGCCCTTTAATTGGCAGAATCTGATATTAATTTAGTTCTTACAAAAAATGGGTCCCAACGTGGTTTGTGTGGCGTTGCCATAGAGTGACGTCATAGGCACAGATCCCCTGTCCTCTTGCTTGGAAATGGAAATATGGTCACCCTACATTAAACAAACTGTCCACCCGGGCTTTTGCGCTGCACAGATACGCTTCGCTGCCTACGACTGAACGTCAGTTGAGAGTCAGTCTCATGCAGACTGACCAATGAAGAGAGGGCCTCAAGTTAAGACCCTCTCCTCATTGGTCAGTCCACACGAGGTGGGTCAAAGGTTACTCTGGGCGGGTTACGTGTTGTCAGGCATTCAAGTATTGAGTATATTTACTGCATATTACAGTAAAATATTCTGTATGTGACCACATTATGGTGATCCTTGGGTCGTGATGATGGAGCCCTTGAATATTGTTGCCCAGGGTACAACAAAGTGTTAATCTGGCCCTGGTTCCGCCGTCACATTCCCGCAGAAACTGGTTGATCACACCGGGGCCAGACTACTAGCATGTGGTTTTACAACCACAATGTCCTCAGAAGCAAAAACGCTTTTAAAAGGGAGGGATGAGTCCTAACTGTTGCTGCAGGCGTGTTGTGTGAGAGTGCAGTTATATACTGGTTAATATATTTTTGGGTTCAGTTGCTTTCATGTGGCCTAATGTGAGTCTATTTGGGATCATTGGAATGATCAGCAGCATTTCTTGATGTGACTTTATGGCAGTTGCCCAGGGCATCATCGCAAGGAGGATGGCATTCATTTACTTTTGTTTTATTTGGTATTTTTTCAGTCATTTTTGAAAATAGTGATCAATTTTGATTAATTCACAGCCTATGTTTAATAACATTTAAAATAAATGTCAACAGATGAGATCAAACAAAACAGATGAGAATTGCCCTTAAGCTGTTTAACTTGGACCAAGCATTTTAGGTCACAGATAGATGTAGCTTAGGGTCTCTGTCTATACACCTTATAAGACAATTTAGGTGATGGCATGTTGTTTTTCTGCTATTGAACTGTTTTATAATAATGTTGTGTTAAATAAAGTGAAGGAAGGAGAGAAATAACGTTTCCCTAGCAGTTTTAAAAAATTTCCCCATGTAATCCGATTAATCGATTAATCGTGTCGAGACCCCATCCAATTAATCGATTATCCAAATAATTGTTTGTTGCAGCCCTATTATATAAACTACAAGGACCACCATCACACAGTTTATAAACTACAAGGACCCACCATCACACAGTTTATAAACTACAAGGACCAACCATCACAGGTTTATAAACTACACAGACCCACCGTCACACATTATATAAACTACAAGGACCCACATCACACAGTTTATAAAACTACAAGGACCCACCATCACACAGTTTATAAAACTAAAATGACCCACCATCACAGTTTACAAACAAGGATCCACCATCACGCAGTTTAAAAATTACAAGGACCCACCATCACAGTTTAAAAAATACAAGGACCCACCATCACACAGTTTAAAAATTACAAGGACCCACCATCACACAGTTTAAAAATCACAAGGACCCACCATCACACAGTTTATAAACTACAAGGACCCACCATCACACAGTTTATAAAACTACAAAGACCCACCATCACACAGTTTATAAACTACAAGGACCCACCATCACACAGTTTGTAAAACCACAAGGACCCACCGTCACACAGTTTATAAACTGCAAGGACCCACCGTTACACATTATATAAACTACAAGTACCACCATCACACAGTTTATAAACTACAAGGACCCACATTACAAAGTTTATAAACTACAAGGACCCACATCACACAATTTTTAAAACTACAATGATCCACCATCACAGTTTACAAACAAGGATCCACCATCACACAGTTTATAAACTACAAGGACCCACCACCACACAGTTTATAAACAACAAGGACCCACCATCACACAGTTTATAAAAATACAAGGACCCACCATCACACATTATATATACTACAAGGACAACCATCACACAGTTTATAAACTACAGGGACCCACATCACACAGTTTATAAAACTATAACTACCCACAATCACAGTTTACAAACGAGGCCCGACCATCACACAGTTTATAAACTACAAGGACCCACCATCACACAGTTTATAAACTACAAGGACCCACCGCCACACAGTTTAAAAAGTACAAGGACCCACTATCACACCGTTTATAAACTACAAGGACCCACCATCAGTTTAAAAATTACAAGGACCCACCATCACACATTTTATAAACTACAAGGACCCACCATCACACAGTTAATAAAACTACAAGGACCCACCATCACACAGGTTTTAAACTAAAAAGACCCACCATCACACAGTTTATAAATTACAAGGACCCACCTTCACACAGTTTATAAACTACACAGACCCACCATCACACATTATATAAACTACAAGGGCCAACATCACACAGTTTATAAACTACAAGGACCAACATCAAACAGTTTATAAACTACACAGATCCACCGTCACCCATTATTTAAACTACAAGGACCCACATCACACAGTTTATAAAACTACAAGGACCCACCATCACACAGTTTATAAACTACAAGGACCCACCGCCACACAGTTTAAAAAGTACAAGGACCCACTATCACACCATTTATAAACTACAAGGACCCACCATCAGTTTAAAAATTACAAGGACCCACCATCACACTGTTTATAAACTACAAGGACCCACATCACACAGTTTATAAAACTACAAGGACCCATCATCACACAGTTTATAAACTACAAAGACCCACCATCACACAGTTTATAAACTACAAGGACCCACCTTCACACAGTTTATAAACTACACAGACCCACAATCACACATTATATAAACTACAAGGGCCACCATCACACAGTTTATAAACCACAAGGACCAACATCACACAGTTTATAAACTACACAGATCCACCGTCACCCATTATTTAAACTACAAGGACCCACCATCACACGGTTTATAAAACTACAATAGGGCTGCAACTAACGATTATTTTCATAATCGATTAATCTGTCGATTATTTTTTCGATTAATCGATTAATCGGTTTGTTATTGTTTAGCTATTTAACCTATACAAGTGATGAATACATTTCAGTTAAGAAAAAGAAAAAACATAAGAGAATTGTGCAGTTGACTGCAATCTATTTTATTGCACATGACCACAGTCAGCAGTGTAAAATGAGCTAAACAGTGCAAAATATCAGTCCAGAATAATTTTTTGGCATCAAAATATAAGAGGTAAATTCCATAAAAAATAATGTAGAATCTGGAATAGAGTTTGTAAGTGGTATGCATTGCTGGGGGTGAGTGTCTTGTTCCCCATGTAGTTGTCCATCGTTGCTTGTTTTTTTCTGCATAAGAAACACAAATAAACTGAATTAAGTACACATATAAAATAAAGCAGCACACACACTACAACACTAAATCAATATTACATTATTTGAATTAATTAACAATATACAGTGATCATTTATTTTGACAAAAATGTGTTGTGAGGCGTTTTACAGCGTTAGATAGTAAAACAGCCTTTTAATAGTTAAAAAAAGGACTTTCTGAATTTCTCCTGTATTTAAAAATTGAAAGCGTACAACTATGCTGCGTTATATTCACCTGGACACAGCTCGTCTGTATATTTTTCTCCGCGGAGTTGTCCTTTTTTGAATGAGGAACACAGTTATGGGTTTGTGCCGTTTTTCTCTTAACGAGAACATTCTTATAAACAGACGTGCTAAATTTGGCAAGCGCATGATTCACAACACGGAGATTCACGATTGCATCTAGTCAATCAGAAGTAGAACACCGTAAACTGACGCGGCAACAAAAAAAAAACATGTTTAACATCCACTATAACGAACTCAGCTAACACTAAGTCCCAAATGTGATCTGCGTTAGCTTGTTTATTTTCTGTTACTTACCGGACATTCCTCTGCTGCATCAGCCCCCACGTTTTCGTCTCAAATGTTCACTTAGGGACGTCGTGCTTCCGTCGTGCCATGGTTTTTGCATATTTTGTAGGTCACCGGTCTTTTCAAGGCATCTAGTGAAGTGCTCCCATACTCGTGAGGTTTTTGTCCGGGGTTTCTCTTGTTTTGTCGCTTCTATTTTTCTTCCGTATTTGTTGTTGATCCGCCATCTCTCACAGCAAGATGCGCGTCAGTAACGTGATACGTCATGAAAACCGAGGGCACTTATTGGCTAATTTCTTCTTCTACGGCCCCACTGGTAGATCAGTGGCTCATTACTGCCACACACTGGCGGCAAATTTAACAGATTGTAACCGATGTCAGATTGTGGTAAAAAATAGACTTTATGCGGTAAAATATGATTATTAAACAACTAATCGATGACTAAAAAAGTTGTTAACTATTTTAATAATCGATTATAATCGATTAAATCGATTAGTTGTTTCAGCTCTAAACTACAATGACCCACCATCACAGTTTACAAACAAGGATCCACCATCACACAGTTAAAAAACTACAAGGACCCACCATCACAGTTTATAAACTACAAGGACCCACCATCACACAGTTAAAAAATTACAAGGACCCACCATCACACAGTTTAAAAATCACAAGGACCCACCATCACACAGTTTATAAACTACAAAGACTCACCATCACAAAGTTTATAAAACTACAAGGACCCACCATCACACAGTTTATAAACTAAAAGGACCCACCATCACACAGTTTATAAACTACAAGGACCCACCATCACACAGTTTGTAAAACCACAAGGACCCACCGTCACACAGTTTATAAAGTGCAAGGACCCACCGTCACACATTATATAAACTACAAGGACCACCATCACACAGTTTATAAACTACAAGGACCCACATTACAAAGTTTATAAACTACAAGGACCCACATCACACAATTTTTAAAACTACAATGATCTACCATCACAGTTTACAAACAAGGATCCACCATCACACAGTTTATAAACTACAAGGACCCACCATCACACAGTTTATAAACAAGGACCCACCATCACACAGTTGATAAACTACAAGGACCCACCATCACACAGTTTAAAAACTGCAAGGACCCACCATCACACACTTTATAAACTACAAGGACCCACCATCACACAGTTTAACAACTACAAGGACCCACCATCACAGTTTATAAACAAGGACCCACCATCACACAGTTTATAAACTACAAGGACCCACCATCACACAGTTTAAAAATTACAAGGACACACATCACACATTTTATATAACTACAAGGACCCACCATCATACAGTTTATAAACAACAAGGACCCACCATGACACAGTTTATAAACTACAAGGACCCACCATCACACGGTTTATGAAACTAGAAGAACCCACCATCACACTGCTTATACAACTACAAAGACCCACCATCACACAGTTTAAAAACTACAAGGACCCACCATCACACAGTTTATAAAAAGGACCCATCATCACACAGTCTATAACAACTACAAGGACCCACCATCACACCGTTAATAAACTACAAGGACCCACCATCACACAGTTTATAAAAATACAAGGACCCACCATCACACATTATATAAAGTACAAGGACCACCATCACACAGTTTATAAACTACAAGGACCCACATCACACAGTTTATAAACTACAAGGACCCACCGCCACACAGTTTAAAAAGTACAAGGACCCACTATCACACCGTTTATAAACTACAAGGACCCACCATCAGTTTAAAAATTACAAGGACCCACCATCACACTGTTTTTAAAACTACAAAGACCCACCATCACACAGTTTATAAACTACAAGGACCCACCATCACACAGTTTATAAAACCACAAGGACCCACCATCACACAGTTTATAAACTACAAGGACCCACATTGCAAAGTTTATAAACCAGAAGGACCCAAATCACACAATTTTTAAAACTACAATGATCCACAATCACAGTTTACAAACAAGGATCCACCATCACACAGTTTATAAACTACAGGAACCCACCATCACACAGTTTATAAACAACAAGGACCCACCATCACACAATTTAAAAACTGCAAGGACCCACCATCACACAGTTTATAAACAAGGACCCACCATCACACAGTTTAAAAACTGCAAGGACCCACCATCACACAGTTTATAAACTACAAGGACCCACCATCACACAGTTTAACAACTACAAGGACCCACCATCACACAGTTTATAAACAAGGACCCACCATCACACAGTTTATAAACTACAAAGACCCACCATCACACAGTTTAAAAACTACAAGGACCCACCATCACACAGTTTATAAAAAGGACCCATCATCACACAGTCTATAAAAATAATAGGACCCACCATCACACCGTTAATAAACTACAAGGACCCACCATCACACAGTTTATAAAAATACAAGGACCCGCCATCACACATTATATAAACTACAAGGACCACCATCACACAGTTTATAAACTACAAGGACCCACCATCACACGGTTTATGAAACTAGAAGAACCCACCATCACACTGCTTATACAACTACAAAGACCCACCATCAAACAGTTTAAAAACTACAAGGACCCACCATCACACAGTTTATAAAAAGGACCCATCATCACACAGTCTATAACAACTACAAGGACCCACCATCACACCGTTAATAAACTACAAGGACCCACCATCACACAGTTTATAAAAATACAAGGACCCACCATCACACATTATATAAAGTACAAGGACCACCATCACACAGTTTATAAACTACAAGGACCCACATCACACAGTTTATAAACTACAAGGACCCACCGCCACACAGTTTAAAAAGTACAAGGACCCACTATCACACCGTTTATAAACTACAAGGACCCACCATCAGTTTAAAAATTACAAGGACCCACCATCACACTGTTTTTAAAACTACAAAGACCCACCATCACACAGTTTATAAACTACAAGGACCCACCATCACACAGTTTATAAACTACAAGGACCAACATCACACAGTTTATAAACTACACAGATCCACCGTCACCCATTATTTAAACTACAAGGACCCACCATCACACGGTTTATAAAACTACAATAGGGCTGCAACTAACGATTATTTTCATAATCGATTAATCTGTCGATTATTTTTTCGATTAATCGATTAATCGGTTTGTTATTGTTTAGCTATTTAACCTATACAAGTGATGAATACATTTCAGTTAAGAAAAAGAAAAAACATAAGAGAATTGTGCAGTTGACTGCAATCTATTTTATTGCACATGACCACAGTCAGCAGTGTAAAATGAGCTAAACAGTGCAAAATATCAGTCCAGAATAATTTTTTGGCATCAAAATATAAGAGGTAAATTCCATAAAAAATAATGTAGAATCTGGAATAGAGTTTGTAAGTGGTATGCATTGCTGGGGGTGAGTGTCTTGTTCCCCATGTAGTTGTCCATCGTTGCTTGTTTTTTTTCTGCATAAGAAACACAAATAAACTGAATTAAGTACACATATAAAATAAAGCAGCACACACACTACAACACTAAATCAATATTACATTATTTGAATTAATTAACAATATACAGTGATCATTTATTTTGACAAAAATGTGTTGTGAGGCGTTTTACAGCGTTAGATAGTAAAACAGCCTTTTAATAGTTAAAAAAAGGACTTTCTGAATTTCTCCTGTATTTAAAAATTGAAAGCGTACAACTATGCTGCGTTATATTCACCTGGACACAGCTCGTCTGTATATTTTTCTCCGCGGAGTTGTCCTTTTTTGAATGAGGAACACAGTTATGGGTTTGTGCCGTTTTTCTCTTAACGAGAACATTCTTATAAACAGACGTGCTAAATTTGGCAAGCGCATGATTCACAACACGGAGATTCACGATTGCATCTAGTCAATCAGAAGTAGAACACCGTAAACTGACGCGGCAAAAAAAAACATGTTTAACATCCACTATAACGAACTCAGCTAACACTAAGTCCCAAATGTGATCTGCGTTAGCTTGTTTATTTTCTGTTACTTACCGGACATTCCTCTGCTGCATCAGCCCCCACGTTTTCGTCTCAAATGTTCACTTAGGGACGTCGTGCTTCCGTCGTGCCATGGTTTTTGCATATTTTGTAGGTCACCGGTCTTTTCAAGGCATCTAGTGAAGTGCTCCCATACTCGTGAGGTTTTTGTCCGGGGTTTCTCTTGTTTTGTCGCTTCTATTTTTCTTCCGTATTTGTTGTTGATCCGCCATCTCTCACAGCAAGATGCGCGTCAGTAACGTGATACGTCATGAAAACCGAGGGCACTTATTGGCTAATTTCTTCTTCTACGGCCCCACTGGTAGATCAGTGGCTCATTACTGCCACACACTGGCGGCAAATTTAACAGATTGTAACCGATGTCAGATTGTGGTAAAAAATAGACTTTATGCGGTAAAATATGATTATTAAACAACTAATCGATGACTAAAAAAGTTGTTAACTATTTTAATAATCGATTATAATCGATTAAATCGATTAGTTGTTTCAGCTCTAAACTACAATGACCCACCATCACAGTTTACAAACAAGGATCCACCATCACACAGTTAAAAAACTACAAGGACCCACCATCACAGTTTATAAACTACAAGGACCCACCATCACACAGTTAAAAAATTACAAGGACCCACCATCACACAGTTTAAAAATCACAAGGACCCACCATCACACAGTTTATAAACTACAAAGACTCACCATCACAAAGTTTATAAAACTACAAGGACCCACCATCACACAGTTTATAAACTACAAGGACCCACCATCACACAGTTTATAAACTACAAGGACCCACCATCACACAGTTTGTAAAACCACAAGGACCCACCGTCACACAGTTTATAAAGTGCAAGGACCCACCGTCACACATTATATAAACTACAAGGACCACCATCACACAGTTTATAAACTACAAGGACCCACATTACAAAGTTTATAAACTACAAGGACCCACATCACACAATTTTTAAAACTACAATGATCTACCATCACAGTTTACAAACAAGGATCCACCATCACACAGTTTATAAACTACAAGGACCCACCATCACACAGTTTATAAACAAGGACCCACCATCACACAGTTGATAAACTACAAGGACCCACCATCACACAGTTTAAAAACTGCAAGGACCCACCATCACACACTTTATAAACTACAAGGACCCACCATCACACAGTTTAACAACTACAAGGACCCACCATCACAGTTTATAAACAAGGACCCACCATCACACAGTTTATAAACTACAAGGACCCACCATCACACAGTTTAAAAATTACAAGGACACACATCACACATTTTATATAACTACAAGGACCCACCATCATACAGTTTATAAACAACAAGGACCCACCATGACACAGTTTATAAACTACAAGGACCCACCATCACACGGTTTATGAAACTAGAAGAACCCACCATCACACTGCTTATACAACTACAAAGACCCACCATCACACAGTTTAAAAACTACAAGGACCCACCATCACACAGTTTACAAAAAGGACCCATCATCACACAGTCTATAACAACTACAAGGACCCACCATCACACCGTTAATAAACTACAAGGACCCACCATCACACAGTTTATAAAAATACAAGGACCCACCATCACACATTATATAAAGTACAAGGACCACCATCACACAGTTTATAAACTACAAGGACCCACATCACACAGTTTATAAACTACAAGGACCCACCGCCACACAGTTTAAAAAGTACAAGGACCCACTATCACACCGTTTATAAACTACAAGGACCCACCATCAGTTTAAAAATTACAAGGACCCACCATCACACTGTTTTTAAAACTACAAAGACCCACCATCACACAGTTTATAAACTACAAGGACCCACCATCACACAGTTTATAAAACCACAAGGACCCACCATCACACAGTTTATAAAACCACAAGGACCCACCATCACACAGTTTATAAACTACAAGGACCCACATTGCAAAGTTTATAAACCAGAAGGACCCAAATCACACAATTTTTAAAACTACAATGATCCGCAATCACAGTTTACAAACAAGGATCCACCATCACACAGTTTATAAACTACAGGAACCCACCATCACACAGTTTATAAACAACAAGGACCCACCATCACACAATTTAAAAACTGCAAGGACCCACCATCACACAGTTTATAAACAAGGACCCACCATCACACAGTTTAAAAACTGCAAGGACCCACCATCACACAGTTTATAAACTACAAGGACCCACCATCACACAGTTTAACAACTACAAGGACCCACCATCACACAGTTTATAAACAAGGACCCACCATCACACAGTTTATAAACTACAAAGACCCACCATCACACAGTTTAAAAACTACAAGGACCCACCATCACACAGTTTATAAAAAGGACCCATCATCACACAGTCTATAAAAATAAAAGGACCCACCATCACACCGTTAATAAACTACAAGGACCCACCATCACACAGTTTATAAAAATACAAGGACCCGCCATCACACATTATATAAACTACAAGGACCACCATCACACAGTTTATAAACTACAAGGACCCACCATCACACGGTTTATGAAACTAGAAGAACCCACCATCACACTGCTTATACAACTACAAAGACCCACCATCACACAGTTTAAAAACTACAAGGACCCACCATCACACAGTTTATAAAAAGGACCCATCATCACACAGTCTATAACAACTACAAGGACCCACCATCACACCGTTAATAAACTACAAGGACCCACCATCACACAGTTTATAAAAATACAAGGACCCACCATCACACATTATATAAAGTACAAGGACCACCATCACACAGTTTATAAACTACAAGGACCCACATCACACAGTTTATAAACTACAAGGACCCACCGCCACACAGTTTAAAAAGTACAAGGACCCACTATCACACCGTTTATAAACTACAAGGACCCACCATCAGTTTAAAAATTACAAGGACCCACCATCACACTGTTTTTAAAACTACAAAGACCCACCATCACACAGTTTATAAACTACAAGGACCCACCATCACACAGTTTATAAAACCACAAGGACCCACCATCACACAGTTTATAAACTACAAGGACCCACATTGCAAAGTTTATAAACCAGAAGGACCCAAATCACACAATTTTTAAAACTACAATGATCCACAATCACAGTTTACAAACAAGGATCCACCATCACACAGTTTATAAACTACAAGGACCCACCATCACACAGTTTATAAACAAGGACCCACCATCACACAGTTGATAAACTACAAGGACCCACATTGCAAAGTTTATAAACCAGAAGGACCCAAATCACACAATTTTTAAAACTACAATGATCCACCATCACAGTTTACAAACAAGGATCCACCATCACACAGTTTATAAACAACAAGGACCCACCATCACACAATTTAAAAACTGCAAGGACCCACCATCACACAGTTTATAAACTACAAGGACCCACCGTCACACAGTTTAACAACTACAAGGACCCACCATCACACAGTTTATAAACAAGGACCCACCATCACACAGTTTAAAAACTGCAAGGAACCACCATCACACAGTTTATAAACTACAAGGACCCACCATCACACAGTTTAACAACTACAAGGACCCACCATCACACAGTTTATAAACAAGGACCCACCATCACACAGTTTTTAAACTACAAAGACCCACCATCACACAGTTTAAAAACTACAAGGACCCACCATCACACAGTTTATAAAAAGGACCCATCATCACACAGTCTATAAAAATAAAAGGACCCACCATCACACCGTTAATAAACTACAAGGACCCACCATCACACAGTTTATAAAAATACAAGGACCCGCCATCACACATTATATAAACTACAAGGACCACCATCACACAGTTTATAAACTACAAGGACCAACCATCACACAGTTTATAAACTACAAGGACCCACCGCCACACAGTTTAAAAACTACAAGGACCCACTATCACACCGTTTATAAACTACAAGGACCCACCATCAGTTTAAAAATTACAAGGACCCACCATCACACACTTTATAAACTACAAGGACCTACCATCACACAGTTTATAAAACTACAAGGACCCACCATCACACAGTTTATAAACTACAAAGACCCACCATCACACAGTTTATAAACTACAAGGACCCACCATCACACAGTTTATAAACTACACAGACCCACCATCACACATTATATAAACTACAAGGACCCACCATCACACAGTTTATAAACTACACAGACCCACCATCACACATTATATAAACTACAAGGACCACCATCACACAGTTTATAAACTACAAAGACCCACCATCACACAGTTTAAAAACTACAAGGACCCACCATCGCACAGTTTAAAAATTACAAGGACACACATCACACATTTTATATAACTACAAGGACCCACCATCACACAGTTTATAAACTACAAAGACCCACCATCACACAGTTTAAAAACTACAAGGACCCACCATCACACAGTTTATAAACTACAAGGACCCACCATCACACAGTTTATAAACTACACAGACCCAACGTCACCCATTATATAAACTACAAGGACCCACATCACACAGTTTATAAACTACAAGGACCGCCATCACACAGTTTATAAACTACAAGGACCCACCATCACACAGTTTATAAACTACAAGGATCCACCATCACAGTTTAAAAACTCCACTGACCCACCGTCACACAGTTTATAAACTACAAGGACCCACATTACAAAGTTTATAAACTACAAGGACCCACATCACACAGTTTAAAAACAAGGACCACCGCCACACAGTTTATAAACTATAAGGACCCACCGCCACACAGTTTATAAACTATAAGGACCCACCATCACACAGTTGGTCCAGAGGAGAAAGGAGAGAAATAGGAGTACATGGAGCTGTTTTAGTTTGTGAAACACCACAATATTAAAATACAAACTGTTGTATGGTACCAAAGTTTGCTTTTGTAGTTTATAACACCTGGTCTCCTCATAAGAGTTATTCCAGAGGGATTCGAAGAGGATTAGGAGTCCATGGAGCTGGGTTTGTTTTAATTTAGAAACTGTTGTTAAAGGTTTTCATGTTGAACAGTTTTGTGCAACACTACGATGATAAAATACAAACAGTTGTTTGTATCATGATATTTATCAAATATGATTATTTATTGGGAAAATATATGTTTAATTAAAATGCAATTTCAATAACTATTTAGAACTCAAAAGTATCAAAAATGGGTACCGTTAAGCACCGGTATCGTTTCGTAGGTACCGGGGACCGTATCGATTCAAATGCCAAAGGTGCCCATCGCTAAGACAGTGTGACGTAGATCTGTCGGGCTTTTCTAATCCTAGAGTTTCATCGTCTGTTTTCTATCAGAAGCTGATGCAGGAGATGGGTGTAGGAGACTATTTTCATGTTCAGCCTGCATGAAACACTCAGAGTGACCAGTTAGAATCAGAGATAGTCATTGAAACAGGGGTTGTCAGTGAACCAGACCTTTAAAGTGGAACTCACATGAGAGAAGATGAGTAGTCTGGGCTACATGATCAGAGTTCTGCTGATGTCCTGGTGGTTCTCAATGATCAGAAGGAACCAGACCTGAGAACAGAACACACAATGATCCCTAGAACACAGATTCACACAGTAACATAAACGTGGACGGAACAGCTCACCAGTCAGCAGCACGGTGATGACTGGTGAAAGACCATAATTAGGGTTGAAACAGCAACCAGGTGAGAGACAGGAACCTGCTAGCAACCAGCTCCAACCTGCAAGACACCTGCTGGGTTCCCCGATGGATTCTCAGAGTTCTTGTTGATTTAGGGCCGATGTTGGTTTGCTGATGTTTCAGTACCGATGTCAGAGGAGACCGGGAACAGGCCCAATCCAAATACACGCACTTCTACCCACGCACCCTTCAACTGTGCAATCCCGACCCGATTCTCAAGTGCCGAAGCCCCTTTTGCACCCTTGATCCGCACTTCACCCAAGTCCACATCAATGTGGACTTGGGTGAAGTGTATTACCCACAATCCCTTGCTGTGGGAGAAAAGGCTCAAGTTCCTTTGCTGAAAATATGGCTGAAACTTTAAGACAAAGCAGCAATGAATGAAAATTCATTTCAAATGTGTTGCCAACTTGGCGACTTTGACGCTATTTCCAGCAGCTTTTCAGACCCCCTTCTTGACTTTTTAAATCTTAAAAGTACCTAGCAAACACCTCAGAAACATCTCTGGTAACCGTTCTTCACAACTTTAGGAAAGGGAATGATGTAGTGATGTGTCGGTCGCTACAGAAACAGCTCTCAGAGTCGGCTCTGTTGGATTAACCAGAGTGAGTGACACACACCGCACCTGCGGACTCCTGAGCCACTAAAAACGGCTAAATGTGCGCGTGCGGCGTGCTAAACACACGTGCAGCTTGCCCCGATTGCTGTGAGACCGGGTTGGGGGGTGGGGGGAGCAGCGTGTGGTTGGGACAATTATTACATTAACTGATGGACCTGTAAATAAAAAGTTTATAAAGAAGGTAGAAATAAGTTCCTCACGCTGATAAATAATAACTAATCTCTCTGAGGACACGGTGCTAGTGCACGCTCCTACAGCACCTTGACACGACTCAAATGTTACGCAACATTTTGTGAACATCAATTTATTTGCGTTTATTTGTTATAAATGCCACTGTATAATTCTTGCTGTCAGTATTTGCAAGATATTGGTATTTGGGTCTGTACTGGTACTTAAACGAGTTAAACCAAGGTCTATAGCCCTTGGGTCATAAGTATATTGGTCTTTTTATACTGGGAATCAGGAGTTATTTTAGTGATCATCTTGTTTCTTATTTTTGTCCTGATTGTGCCCTGAGCAATTTTATGACTGAATAAAAACAAATAAAATCAACATAAATAGAAAAATCATCCTAAAGGATCGTGATCTCAATTTCAGTCACAATAATCGTGATTATTATTTTTGCCATAATCGAGCAGCCCTACTTCCAACACCCAGAAGATTCTGCAGTGCTTGTTGACGGCCCACGAAGACAAGATTGTCAAACTTATCTCTCTGAATGAAAAGTGAACTTTTACAACTCATAAGTTAAATAATCATAAATAACCATATGGCTGAATGAACCAGATGTTATATGAAATGTTTGAATAATCTGTGCCTAATTCAGTGAAGTTGAAATGAATATTGTCTTACAATGATCCATTTATGGATTGAACGCTGCTGCTAACCACTTAAACATTCTCTCTCTCCTGATAATAACTTTTTGCTTTCCTTGACGTTGGATGTGCTACTACTAGTTTACCCGTTTAATTATAGATCCACTAGGATAAATACAATAAAGTTTATCTTTCACCAAATAGAATATTTACTAAGACATCACAATGTAACCATAGACACACTACGTGTGTGCGCGTGTGTGCGTGTGTGCGTGTGTGCGTGCGTGTGTGTGTGTGTGTGCTCTGTCTTCTCCATGAGTCGTGGAGGATGGCTGCTTATACTGAGCCAGGATCCTCTGGAGGTTTCTTCCTGTTAAAAGGGAGTTTTCCTCTCCACTGTCGCTGCATGCTTGCTGTTATGGAAATTTTATATTTCATTACTTTAGTTCTATTAACAATGTCCTGAAAGCACACACACACACACACACACACACACACACACCAATTCCTTTCTTATCTCTTCTGTACCGGGTCGGCCCGGGTAGCCCCAGTCGGCCCCAGCCTGGCCCGGTTGATTCCACACATCCTTGCCTTAAGCCCATGTGGGCTGATTCTACCCACCAATCAGAGGCTTGCTCTAATGGAAGGTGTGAATTTGCTGTCAGCAGTGGGTGTGTTGGCCCTGGTCGGCCTGAAGCAGACCCCCTCGAGAAGAGGGCTGAGAATGAGCCTTGGTTGGCCCGGAAAGATACCAGGCCACCCAGATATGTAAGCAACCTACGCTACCCGGCCCGGGCCGACCCGGTACAGATGGGAATGGCCCATAAGTATGTCTGCCTTATTGCTTCTTGTCCCTCTCTCTAGCTGCAGGAAATGGGTTTATTGATAAACATATTGATAAAATCCCTAACATAATTTGGTCCTTCGAGAGCCGGGGTCCCGTCACCTCGCGGCGCCAAGAACCGACACCGGACGACTGTCGACAACCTAAACCTCCTCCAGCGCCGAGTTTTGCTGGGGGGTCGGTGAGGATCTTGACGTCGCTAGGAGGAATGCGGATCCACAAACTCAAGCCCTGAAGTGGAGAGATTTAGTGAGACAAGTTTGTTTTTTGTCGTTTTGTCTTGGGGCACCGAGAGAAAATCCTAGGTGGCCAGGGGTTAAATTGGTTGGTTCGCCGGAAGGGACTTGTTAAACAGATTCCTGGAGTGCTGTTTTGGTATGGTTCAGAGAGAAAGATAACAGATTCCGGAAATGCTGTATTGGCTGGTTTTTTGACTGTTTTTGCCAAAATATAAACGCAACCCTGGTGTGATAAAGAGATGAATGAATAGACCGGTGTGATAACGAAGAGGCTACATTGGTTTTTGAGCGTTTTAGCCGAAAATATAAACGCAACTCTGTTTTGGCCTGGCCTTTGAGCATTTAGCCTTGAATAGAAATGCAACCATAGTTATCTGTTGTTGTTTGTTTGTCTTACATGTTGTATGCTTTAACTGTTGCTTGAATAAATGAGACGGTGTATGGGTTTGCCTTGTACATGTGGTATCTGATTATGGGGGAATAAGAACTCACAAAATACCCTTTGAGTAAATGTTGTACATTGATGGAAATGTAAATCCAGGAAATGTGGAAATGATCTGAAGATGATCAGAGGATTGATGGAAAACATGATTCTGATAACGCTGACATGTCACAAATGTACTATGGCTACGAGGACGCACAGAGCGGTGGAGAGAAGGGTTGAAGACGTGAAACAGAGAGAGAGCACAGCCAGGCTCAAAAAGCCCAAACAACAGCTGCTGTGCTCTGAGCTAATAAGATCTTATCAATTGAGGCTTGAAGGTAACCTAACTAGAACATAAAGATGAAAAAATTAACTCCTTGATGCAAAGTGGTCATTACAGTGGACAGGTTCTCAAAATTGTAGTTTATTTATTAGTTGTTGCTATTAAGCACAGCTGAAGACTTTATTGCATTTGAGCCTCTCCATGTGGACTTCAGTAAGTCCAGCCTACATAGTTCATGTTCAGAATACCCGCTGTCCACTGTGGTGGACCTGTAGTAATGTTACAAAAAATATTTGTTAAAATTTGTTTCATTCACACCTAAAGATGAATGAGAATAATTGTTAAATGATCATGGTTGAAGATTTCATAATTCATGCATTAAAGGGTTAAGCACTGACCAAATATTCAATTCCTGGTATCTGGTGACAAATATAACTTGAACTATGAAGTGGCTGAAAGGGAAAGTGGAGCCCCTCAATTTGAGAAACTGACTGTTTATCGGTACTTGGTAGTAACTGAGAGCCCAAATTAAAGCTGTGTGTAGGTTTTTAGTCAAAACCTCTTGGACTGGGAGATTGACTGTGTGGTTAACAGTAATCCCAGAACAACAAAACTAGTGACTATTGTCAAATAGTATTTTATCTTTTTTTTTTATCTTCGTCTCTGACGTCTAAAATCAAGACAAGGGAACTTCAGCGAATGACAATCGAGCCCGGGCGACAGCAGATGTGGTATGCAGTGCCTGTTGAAGTCAAAAACTGCATTTTGAACACTCTAACAAATATCTAACACTTGCTTAGTATGAGGATTGGGATGCAACCTGCTGGGTTCCTTATATAGAAACTTGTTACTGCTTGGCTTAAAGAACTGACCTGTATTGGAATGTTTACTGTGTGAAGGTCCTTGAGACAACTCTGGACCTGATTTGGCGCTTTAGAAATAAACTTGAATTGAACTGAAATTATGTCTTATGATCAGTTCTGTTTGATTTAACAAGTGAATCATTATCCACACTCATACACAAAGTTCATTAGATGCAAATTCAGGTTAAGGTCATCTCACATAAAGTTTAAAGATTCTTTATCTACAGAACTAGAACAGCTTGTATCTGGAAGGTGTGTTTTCTGAGGGATGTTTGGTAAATAGGGCTGCAACAAACGATTATTTGGATAATCGATTAATCGGATGGGGTCTCGACACGATTAATCGATTAATCGGATTACATGGAGAAATTTTTAAAAACTGCTAGGGAAACGTTATTTCTCTCCTTCCTTCACTCTATTTAACACAACATTATTAGAAAACAGTTCAATAGCAGAAAAACAACATGCCATCACCTAAATTGTCTTATAAGGTGTATAGACAGAGACCCTAAGCTACATCTATCTGTGACCTAAAATGGTTGGTCCAAGTTAAACAGCTTAAGGGCAATTCTCATCTGTTTTGTTTGATCTCATCTGTTAACATTTGTTTTAAATGTAATTAAACATAGGCTGTGAATTAATCAAAATTGATCACTATTTCCAAAACTGACTGAAAAAATACCAAATAAAACAAAAGTAAATGAATGCCATCCTCCTTGCGATGATGCCCTGGGCAACTGCCATAAAGTCACATCAAGAAATGCTGCTGATCATTCCAATGATCCCAAATAGACTCACATTAGGCCACATGAAAGCAACTGAACCCAAAAATATATGAACCAGTATATAACTGCACTCTCACACAACACGCCTGCAGCAACAGTTAGGACTCCTCCCTCCCTTTTAAAAGCGTTTTTGCTTCTGAGGACATTGTGGTTGTAAAACCACATGCTAGTAGTCTGGCCCCGGTGTGATCAACCAGTTTCTGCGGGAATGTGACGGCGGAACCAGGGCCAGATTAACACTTTGTTGTACCCTGGGCAACAATATTCAAGGGCTCCATCATCACGACCCAAGGATCACCATAATGTGGTCACATACAGAATATTTTACTGTAATATGCAGTAAATATACTCAATACTTGAATGCCTGACAACACGTAACCCGCCCAGAGTAACCTTTGACCCACCTCGTGTGGACTGACCAATGAGGAGAGGGTCTTAACTTGAGGCCCTCTCTTCATTGGTCAGTCAGCATGAGACTGACTCTCAACTGACGTTCAGTCGTAGGCAGCGAAGCGTCTCTGTGCAGCGCAAAAGCCCGGGTGGACAGTTTGTTTAATATAGGGTGACCATATTTCCATTTCCAAACAAGAGGACAGGGGATCTGTGCCTATGACGTCACACTATGGCAACGCCACACAAACCATGTTGGGACCCATTTTTTGTAAGAACTAAATTAATATCAGATTCTGCCAATAAAAGGGCTCTAAAACAATTCATATGTAAATATTTTGCATATTTAATGCAAAATCTAATTTTTCTGCTTTAGTGCTGCAACAAGGTTTTATTAATAATAAATTATTATACCTTTTGTTTTACTACAGCATCGGTAAGCTTCCTGTGCACAGATGATTAAGGATGCTTGTTTCAGCTGTGAGATTAGACGATAGGATCAATGAAAAAATAAGTTGTCACACACTCCATGGAAACTTTCAGAGAATCCACAAATAGTGGCTTTCAAATGGTTTTGTTACTTTTTGCAAGTTTATAAAAGAAGCAGATGAGACAGCATGTCTGATAATTTAGTTTGTCATCTGATAATATTAGAACATGTCAGTAATGTCTGAGGAGCTTTTATAAACACCATATAACTAACACTACTGGAGAGGGCATGAATTACACAGAGGCTTCTGGGGAGCCCAGTTATGGGGGGGGGGGGGGGGGGGGCATTTAGCCTTGGCCCCCAAAATGTCTTGAAACGGCCCTGGGTGTGTGACTGAGTTTTGAAGGTGATCTGAATTGTATCAGATGTATAAATATAACATGTGTATAACTTATTGTTTTTTACTGGTAAAAACGTGTCATTTGACTTTTCAACACTTTGTTTTGTTTTCTTGTTTTTATTGAACTATTTTCCTGTCCTGTCTGTCTCTCATCTTCCTGCATCTCCTCATAATTCTCCAGAAAATCTGTTGCCTGGATTCTTACCTTTTCACCTCATCAGTTACTTTTGAGCAGATCAAAGATCTCCTGACCGAAAAGCGGAGAGCGCGTTTTCGATGCTGCGTGAGGTGACATCACCACAGCACAGGTGATGAGCTCCGCAGTAGCGAGCTTCAGGCACAAATAAGACAGAAAATAGAGAACATGTGCGGACATGAACGATTGTGTGCTAATTATAGTTTTTTGGTTGCGCCACTTATGGACCGTGCGCTGGAAGCAGCTGCCTGGATCGCTGCGCGACAATGCAGAACCGGTTCGCAGCAGCGCAAGTCTGCCGGCTCTCCCTCGCGCTGATCTGACTTGCTCTGGTCTGCGCGCAACGGCGGGCGGGAAGGAGGGGGGGGGGGGCGCTTTTGGAAGAGTTGTGCGACACAACGAATCGATGACGCAATTCGTTGCCAACGCTTTTAGTAATCGATTTTCATCGAATTTATCGATTCGTTGTTGCAGCCCTATTGGTAAAGCCTACAAACATGTCAAATTCTGATTCGCAGAAATCAGAAACTCTAGATTATTAAAACTAGAGTGACTTCCCGAGTTATTCAGCTTTGAGCGGAACTCCGAAGTGGCCAATTCGGAACCAGCCTCCTTGAGACCTCTCTCTTTGACAAAGTCAAACCTGTTGGCACACTGCCAGCTGACACAGCCATACGGCTCTTTAAGGGAATATCTGTGTTAAGCCGGGCGGACACTGTGCGACTTTTTCACTCGTAGCACTCAGCTTCAGCTCAAACTGTACGACTTCCTTGCAGGGCAGATCTCACGAGTCATGTGCTCACACTGCACGACCCAGTTCTCGGATGCGACCTGACTGCTCACACTGCACGTCTGGTAGCAACACGTCGGCCCTAAAAATATGCTAAAAATAGCAGTTTTTACTCAACACGTCAGACTTTTTTGTCTTGTTTTGCCTGTTGTCCATCGGGAGTGCTGCAGGAGGACACACAGGGATTTATGGGGGTTGGATGAGGAAAACTAAATAAAGAAAGTAAATCTGTGTTTTGTGATCAGTTTAATTTGACATGAACACGACAAACACGCCTTCTTGACAATCTTTGTGAGTAAAAAAAACGTGTAGAAACAAAAACGAACAGCGTGTGTTATTAGGGAAATAGCGGGCGAGCGGTGTTGATGCAGGATTGCGCATGCGCCGTGAGCGGTTCTGGTACTTTTTGGGTCGCAGCTGCTCGCAGAGCCGCTTCAACAGTGCGATACCCTCACAAGGGACGAGCAAAATATTAAACACGCCAGAAGTTTGTGCGAGCTCACGATTGCTGATCGGTAGCTGGTCACGTGGTGTTAATCGCCTCTCGTAACCCCTGTACACTACACGACGCAAAACTCGCCCAGATGTTGTGGATTCTCGCACGACTGGAAAATCGGCTCAAAAAAGTGAAAAAGTCGCACAGTGTACGCCCGGCTTTAGACACAACAAACCTTCATGCCTGTTGTGCCCTGGAGACATCTCGAGACCGGACTGGTCGCACTGCGTTTATTCTACAAACTTTGGTGCCTTGAGGTCTCCCAACTTCCTGACATTTCGGATCTGAGCGGGGGTCTTCGATCAGGGTCTGTAGACACAACTGATTGCGTCTCATGCTGTTTTATTAATAATCACTTTCTAGTTTATAGCAGACAACAGTTTCTTTCAGATACAAAGGTTCTGATACACATCCACTTTACACCACACACCTACAACACACCTTCCATCACCACATACACACTCCACCACATATCATCATTCATAGCTTGTCATGTATAACCATTAGTTTAGAAAAGAATACACAATTTACTATATACTTGACTGTGCCTGAATTAATACGAAGTGTGTTTATGGTCCCTGAACAAGCAAAGAATCCCAAACTCTTCTGGTTAAACATTCAAAGATCAATCAGGTTGATATTACATATTTATATGGACTCATCACATCGTATTGTTCATGATTAAACATGCAGTTGTTACGCTATAAAGTGTAATTTTCAATACGGATAAATATTCGATGAATTGCCCAGCCCCATCTCCATGTAAACAAACGCTGGATCGAAGGTCGCGTGTCATGCACGGGCTCGTGGGGGCTAGAGTAACATGGGTACTATTGAAACGAGTCTCGTTTGTCATTATGACAAATACTTAGGAGGAGAAGGTAAGATTACCCTAAACCTTTTCAAACGGACCCAGTGAAACTGGACCGAAAAGTAAAAGGTCTAATAAAAACAGAACCCGGAGCCAGCTGTGGAGACCCAAGACATCCAGAACAGTACCAGGTGTGATTACCTGCTGGCGTGACGTGGCCAAGTCACGTTACAAACTACTATTCAAAAAGTCTCACTTGTCATAGCACAACCTGAACCGGAAGCTAACAGCTGCTAGCACCACTAGCATAAGTAACGGTTCCCTAGCTTGTGGAGCCCCGGTTGTCCCGGTCATTATCCGGTTCCTGTACGACTACCTTCTGGACAGAACCGTGTTGGACCTATCCAGAACCCCAGCCTACACCAACAAAGTGGATCGGAACCGCTAATCCACGCTCCATCATGTCAGAGAGCTAACAGCTAGCAGGAACCTTCAGTGCCGAAGAATAGTTCAGAAAAACCCAACAGAACCGTGACTCAGAACCTCACCTGCTGCTTTAACTGCTCCAGATCGAGCCAACCGAAAGTACGTGGACTGGTTCCGAAGAATTGTTTGTGCCATCCAGACTTGTTCCGATTTGCTGCTCGTCCACGGGGAGAACTAGCGTTCAGCTGGGCCTCCGCTACGCAAAAACACGGACGCTAACCACAGACATGTTTACGCTAACTGCGTAGCTTTAGAAGCTGCGGCACAACGTGAGCGTAAATTTACGAGAATAGAAACCTTGCATACGGAGCATACGGAGCAGGGCCCGCCTCCGAAGGTAACGGTGCAGGTGCGGAGTGGCGTCCTTCCGGTGACGGTCCTCGCCTCTGGAACGAGCTGCCAGGGACCTCAGGGCTGCTGAACGTTCAGGCTGAAGACCCATCTTTTTAGCTTAGCTTTTAACTGAATACTCACTTTTTAAATTAATTAATTACTTTGTTTATTTATTTATTGTATCTATTTATTTTATTTATTTAATGTATTCTTTCTTTATTCGTGCTTTTTAAACAGTTTTTACCTCGATTTGCGATCAACATTATTTTAATATCTATATAACTTTTTATATTACAATTCTCATTTTAGCTCTTTGGATTTTATATTTTAACCTTAATTGAACCTTTTTCCAGAGCTTCCTCTGTGGGAGCCCTCTGCCTCGGCGGCGGTGGTCGGCTGTGGCGACCTGGGTGCTTTCCATGTGTGCCTGGGTGGTGGTGGGGGTCTCTGCCCTCCCTGCCCTGGGCGCCCGGTGTCAGTGCCTCGGCTGCTGCTGTGGGTCTGCTGCTGTTAGGGTGGATGGCTCCCCAGATGGCGTTTCCTTATGCTTATCTTAGCTGGTCTGACTCATCCAATCTCAGCCAATCGTGTTTTTTTTTACCATGGGGAAGGGTGTGTGTGTGTGTGTGTGTGTGTGTGTGTGTGTGTGTGTGTGTGTGTGTGTGTGTGTGTGTGTGTGTATGTGTATGTGTATGTGTGTGTGTGTGTGTGTGTGTGTGTGTGTGTGTGTGTGTGTGTGTGTGTGTGTGTGTGTGTGTGTGTGTGTTGTTCTGTGTGAAAACAAAGCGGTACAAGTGATAATGCTGCAGGATTTCATAACTTTATCCTTCTCAGCAGCAGCGCTGCAGGTGCTCTCCATGCCCAAAATGTATGTAAGCCAGGTCCTTAGTCAACTTAAAGTTTCCACATTTTTCCGCTAAGTTTTCTTTCATAAATCCCAAAGTTTGCGTGGAAAGTTGCTTACGCAGTTTTCCGACCCTGTTTTGCATGCGTAAGCTAGCTTGATGAACGAAGCCCCTGCACTTGTAGCACCTTTCAGAGTCAGAGGGCTCCAAATGGCTTTGCACTACAGATTATCATTCATCCATTCACACACATTCACAGTGATGAGCTAGAATGCAGAGATGGGAAATTGTGGCTTCAACAAGTCGTCTCCATGTCGTGTTTTTGTTCTGCCCGGCAACTGAACCAGGTTCATTCACTGTGCTGATAGAAATCACCTGCAGTTGCTGAACAGAACAAAAACACGACCTGGAGATGACTTGATGAAGCCACAATTCCCTAGCCTGGCAAGCCATGCTCCATTGATGGCTCTCGGTTGTGGGGCGGGTTCTACCGTTGTCCACTGGACAATGAATGTGACATACTCTTGTTTCACTCTGTTGCATCATCCCACCCACCAGGCATATAGAGTGCCCTGATTGGCCCACAAAGCGGATAAAGCTCTGTGATTTGTTCACTAAGCAGATAGAGCACTATGATTGGCCCACCATTATGGACCAATCACAGCTCTTTATGTGTTTGAAACCCCTCTAGAGAGCTGTGATTGGCCAGCCATAGTCCTGGTAGGAGCTGCGGAGGTTCCAGTGGAGCATGCCTAGACCATTCTTTGCAAAGCAAGGATTTGGTCTAGTTCACTAGGCTAACAATTCCCATCTCTGCTGATTACAGCTGTGACCCTGAGCAGGATGAAAAATAAATGAAAACAGTGTTTTTTAAGTCTGATATTGTAAAAACGGGTTTCTGGTAAAACAAAGAAAATATAGAAATAAAAAGTGCAAAACGCTGATGTGACAGAATGCTTTTCAAAAACAGAAGTTACATGAAATACAAGGCAGAGATGGGACTTAAGGCTTCAACGAGTCATCTCCAGGTCGTGTTTTTGGGAGCCACCGGTCCCTCCGACCACCACCAGCAGGCAAGGGGGGTTAAGTGTCTTGCCCAAGGACACAACAGCAGCATTCTCTGTCTGGAGCCGGGATCAAACCTGCAACCTTCTGATTACTGGACAACCCGCTCAGCCTGTTGAGCTGCTGCTGCCCAACAGACTTTACTGCATGTAACTGCAGATATGGGTCAAACAGTTACTAGTTTAACTCTGACTGATTGACTAGGATCAGCTGCACGCCCACGATGCAAAGGAGGGAGCGGACCTTGGTGCATGTAGCTCCCGCTGGAACGCACCGCTGCTCGCTATCCGTCAGTCCGCATCCATTGGTGTCTTCAAGTCACGGTCGCAGACACGTCTTTGGCTTCTAGTGGTTTTTTACTTGTTCATTGTGTGCTTTGATTGGTGTTTTTAAGTTGGGAGGCGCGTTGGTCAGCTCCCGCGCTGATGGGTTAGGGTTAACCCGTATAGATCACATCGGTACGGTAAGTTCAGACGTTCTTTCAGTTTGCCAATATTTTAGAAACACGGTAAAAGAACCGGTCGAGAAATCAGAATATGGAAGTTTTTAATGAATCAGAAACAAGATAATATTAATGAACATGAATATTTAATTAGATCATCGAGCAGAATCAATAAGTTCTGTTTACATTCACCTCTTGTACTTAAATAGTAGAGTTGATTTTTATTGATACAAAAATCTGACATTAACTTGTGTTAAAGCAAAGAGCCAGAACATTACAACCACCTCCCAGGTGTGGTGCTGCTCTAACAGGTCAAATTGTTTGGACCTGTCGACACAAACGCTGCACTACTGTTCTGCTGTGGGTCCTGGCCCATGGGCTTTCGGTGAAATGAATTCATTTGGGTCAGATCTGGTTCTCGACAGGTGCTGGATCAAACGTAACTAGTTGGATGGCATCTGTGAAGGTGACTGGGTCTCAGGGTCCACCAGAACCATCTACCTGTGAGTGGTTTAATGGTGTGGCTGAGTCAGTGCATGAACAGGAGCTCACTAGAAGAAGCGGTGGAGATGAGGATTCTCTCTGCTGCCACCTGTGGGCGGAGCCTGGTTCTGTGTGGAACCCTAACCTAATTAAGTTCTGTTAAGACACCAAACCGGTACCACTTTACA